GGAGCATGTACTGTCACTATAAGCACAAGCAGCCATAAGTACACACCTCTCCGGCACTGAATTAAAGCAAGACCTCTGTCAACTTCCTGCTACGAGTCCATCGCTCACACCTATACGAGCACCTCGTCTACACTCCCATCCATATGCACACACACTCCCGGCCAGTGACTGAGGGCAAAGTGTAAGATAGATAATACAAATACATGACACCGAGGGTCTTTGTCTTTCCTCTAGACCACAGTTTCATGAACCCCTAGTGGTGTGCGAGAATGCGCTGGAAATGCCAGTGGCACATGAAATAACATGTAAAGGTGTTGCGTTTAAGTAAATGTACAGGTACATCTCAATAAATTAGAATGTCGTGGAAAAGTTATCATTTAAATGTAATAAAAATAACAAAACGGAGCAAGCAAAGATATTCAATGTTCTTTCTGAAAGGTTAAATGGATGGTTCACCTAAAAATGTAAACTCTGTCATCATTTACTCACACTCATGTCATTCCAAACCTGAAAGGCCTTCTTTTCGCAGAAGATATTTAGCAGAATGTCTAAGCTTTTATTTCCATGTTGCAAAAGTGGATGTGAATCAGGAACGGCTGTGAACACCATTCACTTTCATTGTATGGGAAAAAAAGAAGCTTGGACATTCTGCTAAATGTTTGCTTTTGAACTTCATGCACAAAGGAAAAGTCACAGGCATTTGGAACAACTTGAGAGTGAACAAATGATGATTTTAATCAAACTAAACCTTACTCAAGGGAATAATATCTCAATGTACACTTTTAGATCACTAAAAAAGTTCCCCAGACAATGTTTTGAATGCTTTGAGTAGATCTGAACAGTCCTGCGTAAGCACAGCGATCGGAGACTCCAAAAGTACATTGGGTTTATTTTGTTTGTGAATTGAAAGAAAGAGAAACTTTCAAACACAAATAGTGCAACTAAAAGGCCATGTGTTGGAAGCAATCAGCATTATGTGGATGTTCTGTCTGTACCATCCCCACTGAAATCAAAGCTGTTTTTCCCATCCTCCCTTTAACTGATAACACATTTAATGACTTCAGCTCATACCCTCCCCCAATAACAGCACAGAATTTGTTTCTCTCTTTTCCCCCCTCGTTCTTTTTGAAAACTTTTCTTTCCCTTGGCAAGCGGCTCTTTTTTTCTTGTTCTCTCTTGCCCCTTCAGGGTCCCTCCACTCAGGTCCTCCCTCTTTCTTTCTCTCTGAGTCACATTCCATCTTTCGTTTCTCCCCCTCTCTGAGCTCAGGAATGCAGCAGACCCAGCCGCCTGAACTAATGACCCCGTTTCACCATCCCTCCCTCTTTCCCTCTCTTTACCTCTCTTTTTCAGCCAGCAAAACTCCCCAAAGTCAAAGAAAAAGGAAGAAGAGTTTCTCAAGTATATTAAGTCTGATTCAAAGTGATTTCTGCAATAAGATTAGTTTTGTGAATAACACCATGTGAGCATACTGTTGTTTTATATGCGCTATGAAGGCACACTATTTAGTCATTTCACAGGGACAATAAAGAATAACACTGTTGCGTAAGATTTCATACATTCATTTCAGTCGATGGTTAGGCTTTAAAACAAAAGACAGAAAAACTACATGTGAAAACCAGTGTTTACAAATGTGATTTTCATTCCCCCCCCCTTCGTTTTATTAAGAACTTTAAACTCTGCGTTGTTCATTGTGGTAGTAAATGGCAATAATTACTAAAAATTATTATAAAAATCAAGAGAGAAAAACAAACTTGTTTAGAAATATTAATTTTTCATTTCTATAAAAAAAACTTTGAACTATTGTCATTCATTTCAATAATGATTTTAATAATAAAATAGAGAAAAACAAATAACCAATTTTTAAAATGAATTCTGGGGGTAAATTCGATAATTATTTATTGTTATCATTATAAAACAAAGAAAAAAACAAATGTTTTTTTTTTAAATAAAACTTTGAACTCCGTGTCATTCATTCTAGTGGTAAATTCCAAAGAATATTTAAATTATTACTATTATTGTTATTATAAAACAAAAGATAGAAACCTGCTTTTTAAAAGCTCATTCTGGTGGTAAATTATTTCAATAATTATTTAATTTATTATAAAACAAACAAAAAAAATTAAGTCAAATAGTATATTAAATCTGCGCTTACAAATATTTTTACAAAACATTTTATTTCTATTAAAACCTTTAAACAGGTTTCATTCATTCTAGTGTTATATTAATTTAAATGATTAATTAATAATTATTTAAATTTCTGTAAAGCATTCTCAGCATTACCACAAGGGGTGCTATAGTGCTCTGTCTCTCAGTTTTCCCTTCCTTTTCATTTCAACTATCTTCAAAGCAGAGCAACAGTTTAACAATTGCCGAGAAAGTTTGTTAGACTCTTGACATGTTTGCAGCTAGCTAACTGAATGTCACACATTTTAATTGTACATTTCATCTGACATCGTTAGTGTCACAGTTACAAAAGAACATATGCTTGCAACGCGCACTTGTGTAAAGCATGTGTCTGGCCTAAACTGAAAACACACCTCTGTTTTCCTGAATTGTGACCCAGACTCACCGTGCATTTGTGTAGTCTGATGGGTGAGGGGAGGGTTGTTGTTTTTTACGACCACAGCCCCACAATCAATAGAGTGAAATTTACCACCTCCCCAAAGAGTATCACCCACAATATCCATTAAGAGCTCTGCCTCCAGCCCAATCCCTCAAGCATACACCCGTTTCTTTAGCCTAATTATCTCAATTAAGCTGTGATGACTGATAATTACACAAATAACCCACAACATTTGGCACTAGATGATATGGACCCCTTTAAATTTCTAACACTTCTTTATATTTAAATTTATGAGCCTTGATTTTGAAAACCCTAATAATGTAGCCATGAATAAAGTGGCGATACTGCTACGACTGGGTACGTTTTATAATAGCTTTGCGGTAAACGCTTACAGCTACATTCTGAATCCCGAACATATTAGCCAGAAAAGCCACTGCATCTCAATGTTTGTATGTCTTTAAGAAGATTAATAAAGCCAGCCCGTTAAATCTTTCAATTAGCACACTTCATTAATACAAACACACCGCCATGCTAATGAGATAATGTACATTTTAATGCGGTGCATCTGTCCAAGTTGCACTAATATCCTTCCATTAAATTTATGAATGATCGACACGAACGCACACCCTCCTGGCGGCGAGGTATTCCCTCATTTGTGAAGGATTGGTGAAAACGTGCAGATGGGAAATGCGAAGGGCCAAGTGGAAAAAGCCAGCAGCCGTCCAGCCATTAGCAGACAGAGTGGTATGAAATATTCAGAGCGCCCGGCTGGGTTCGACCGCATACATAATCAGGCACAAGAACGTGGCGCAGGTACGGCACAGGTGATGTGTTAAGCGCAGACAAAGGTATTGTGTTCGCTGCTGGAAGCAGTACATTAATGCTGCCATTTTCTGTGCATTACTGGAGAAGCAGTCCATCACGGCTGTGTTCGAGGCTCGGGCCTCGTCTGTCTTTTTCTCTGCACCTCTCTCTGGTTCGTTCACCCTCCCTCCTCCTTTGGCTTGGGCCGCTCTCCCGTCATACCCCGCCTCCTTTTCTCTCTGTGCCCCCAGCCACCTCCCCCCATCCTCTGCTCTCCATTTCAGTCGAGTTCTCCATGTGAGCCGCAATCCCTCATGCTGTCAGCCCCCCCTCTACCTCTCTCTGTAGACAGACAGGATTAGCATTTTAATTGCATCAGCTCCCTTGGGTATTCTCAGCCTTTCACTGGGAGAGCGCGACGGAGCAGAAGGGGGGAAGAGAAGGTAAGGAGAGAAAAGAGGAGAATTGTGGGGGGAAAGCAGCAAAAGGGAGTCAAAGGAGGAGATAAAACTGCGAGGAGGAGAGCAGACAGAACGAGCAGGAGATGGAAAAATAAAGGGGGCAGGGAGAGCGTGAATGAGAGAACGCGAAAGGAAGAGTTGAAGATGATCGCGGTGGGCTGCAAACGAGTGTGGGGCGACACTTAGGAAATGACAACGCTCTGACCGCAACAGCCAATAAATCAAAAGGAGGGAGGCGAACACGACGGGGGAGGGATCTGTGCGCGCTGAAAAGCACGCCCACATGGACTCAAACATGCTAACCTGTGAGCTAAGTGGGATGTAAATAAGGGGAATTTATCTTCAAAACAAAAACGACTGCAGTGCCATTACACTCGAAGTGAAATACGAGGGTCATTCCTACTTTACGCAGTACATTTTCATGTCCCCATCACACACACCCTTCATATACTGTGTAAATACTAAATTGTGTTTCTTCATTTTATTCTTTCTCCTATAAAAATACTGTATGGTTTTGGGGAAAATTTTTTTAATTGATGTCAGTTATTTACACTACCGTTTTTGAAAGAGAAGAAATTAACGCTTTTATTCAGTAAAGATTGCCGCATTAAAATGATCAAAAGTGACAGTAAATGCATTTATGATGCTACAAAATATTTCTGTTTCAACTAAATGCTGTTCTTTTGAACTTTCTATTTATCAAATATATTTCCACAAAAATATTAAGCAGCACAACTGTTTTCAAC